TGGTATTCCTGGGATTTGGCATACTTTTTAAAAAACTATTCTTTTGGTGCAAAAGCGTAGTTCTGTGCATTGCAATAATTAAGGGGAGCTCTTGCTGCCCCATAAAACGGGGAGAAATTCTTGGGACCTTCGTGACAATCATTCAATTTACAGAGCTTATATGGGAACCGTGTTCGCAGAAAAATCTTCCCACAATTTCTACAAAAGCTGGACAGAAAATATTTCTCTACACAGTATTGTATAGAGAAAATTTCAAGAGAAAATATTTGCCTAGTGAGTCCACCTGTATGAAATTTCACGTTAACATTTCACCCCTCTTTATCTAGAAAATTTGACAGCCATATCTTAGTATTATCCCGGATCTTGATGACATCTTTCGCTTGACTGCTGGTCGGGGTGAGTGGAATCGGGGAATCCGAAATTTCATGATATTTTTCGGATCGGCGCGTGATGTGGTAGTTGAGAATGGAGTATCACGGAAATGTGAGCCGTCGTCGCACTTCCTGGCCCCCAGCTAGGGTGGCTCCGCCTTCCTCGTTCTTGAGCGGTGTGAGTCGCGACAAGTCGCCGGTGGCGAGCTCGACTTATTAAATTTTCGTACGCCTTTGCCGCGTTGTGCAAGACGCGTCGCGGTCCGGTAACCACAAGTCGGCCGAAGCGAGCCTGCTTCGATTAATCTCATCCACGGGGTATTTGTCACGTTCGAAGCTGAAGAACCGATAGCTTAGGTAAACGTTTTCCGTGTATCAGTTCCCGCGGATTCCTAGTTGCTGTGACGAAAGCAACTCTGGGCGGAGCGTCAATTTGAAAAAAGAAAAGCGCTTCTGGCGTTATCTGCGAAGACACTTCGGAGACGTGGAGAGAACGTTGCGCCGCGATAAGACTGGGCGACGACATTTACCATCGAGCTTTGCCATGACCTGCGCGTGCGTGGCTCTGACGCTCGACGTCGACACGATGCTGTCCTCGGCGCCTCTGAGCATGCGACGGATCTTGCCAAAATATACCGCGCACAGAAAAATATTGTACCATGCTTAGGGTTAAAATCAGGGACTCGGGCAATTATAAGGAAATATTTATTTTTTCTACTTCGCCAGTCAAAATTAGCTACTTTGGTCTAGGGTTCTAGCATTCCTTTCTTATCTCCATCTATCTTTAATTGCTATGGTGGATTAATTCTTTGAAATTTTCGAATTGCTCTGAATCTTCGGTATGAAATATCTATGCAGCAGAAATTACAAATTATGAAGGAAAGAAGGGCATACACTGCGGTGTTTCCTCGAAGGATTTTTTTAAATTTTAAAAATGGTTTCCTGTGCATATACCGTATATATATATACTACATTTTTCTCCGCAAGAGGGCTGAGTACGGTTTTCAAAACTCCCAATAGTGAGCAGAACCATGACCATGATGAGTCTTGCAATGTGTTATTCATTTATTTTGCATTACATCATCATTTGGCGGGAAGATCAATTCACTCATATTTCAAGTTTATCTAAAAACCCAACTTCAGGTAACAGAAGCCCAAAGAAGGGCTGGATGAAAGATTCAACCATGCGACTGAACTTTCTTTATTGGTGAGCCCTTAGTACCAGTTCCCGGCTATTTGCTGGCTAAGATAGACCGCGATGTTCAAATTGTGCTAAATTTATATTTTGGGATTGGAACCTTGAGAAATCGAAGGTGTGCCTTGTTCTAAGCTTTGCTCCATTCCAGTGAGAATCATTGTTGCGAGGCTAAGATTCCCCAATGAAAAGGAGAAAGTTTTTCTGTGGTGTGGAACAAAATGACCAAGAAATGTATGTAGAAGTGTTACTTGGCAAGATTTTTCTTCAAAACAAGGAAGCAGATGCATTCAGATCGGTGTCCCGCAGTTTTGTTTGGTATTCCCCTACGTTCCCCGCGATCTTCGTTGCCGATCAAAGAAAATTTAAGGTTCCCAATAAAAAGAAACGAAATCTGGATCTCTCTGCGCTTGCGAAGAAAAACATGACTGGCAGAAAAAGATTCCGGATAAATTTTAAAGCTCTAATGTACTGTACAATGACTATGTGAGACAAGGTGACGATGCCAGATAATTGATCAAATGGGGGCTGCGCCGTTTTACTGGAAAAAAAAATCTTGAACAAGAAATTGTGAATACCGTATCTGCTCTTCATTATCACCACGTATTCTCTAAAAGCTTGTACTTACTCCGCTCGAAACACCCCTGACAATCATTTTATAACCCCATTTTTCTAGCTACTTAGCAATGGAGATTCGAGAGACTTGGGCTCAAAAACCAGGGATAGTTGCCGTGCTCAGCGAATACTGATTCGCCAGAGAAATCATGTTAAACCGACCGAGTATGATTTTTCTTCTCTTTCATCTTATCCGTAAATTTCAAGTTTTTGGGGCATGTGGGTCAATGCACACGGCGGCACTCATCTGGGACAACATTTTCTGTACGAATTAATTGATAGAGCAGGCCTTTTCGTGAAAGTTGGAAAATTTCTGTTCGACGATTATATTGAAGTATTGAGTCACCTGTCGTACCATTCATTTTTTACTAGTATCACTCCATCGATGATGAAATCAAACGTTTAGATCCGTCCATTCATACTATATTCGCTCATTGTCTCCGTTTGATTCGCGTATATTCGTAATTGGAAGCAGAGCGAGTGACTAACGAAGATCGTTCGTTCCCGAACGTCGTTGACCAATAGACTGAGAATCCTATAAAAAAACTTCGATAAATATTGGATTTAATTGTGTTCCCGAATCGATGAATTAAAGCTTAACATTTCTGGTATGCTCCATTTCTCGAGTATGTTTTCATGCTCGAGAAATGAATCCTGCTTCTGAAATTGAGCAGCGATTGGTCAGCCCCACGATATGCGATTTTTAAAAATCGCTTCTAACGGCGCTATTTATTTATTCGCCAAGGGTCGTGAAGTTTCTTGAAAGGAAAAGCGAGTAACAGCAAGTTTCGAAGGAAAATGAATAATAAAATGTGAGATTAACATTGTTTGACATGGCGAGGGCTCCAGTGTGCGTTGAAGTCCACTTGTTCACGGCTGAGTGCTGTTGCCGTTTCCGGGGTATGATCGGTAAATTTGAATGCAATTTCGCGCCGGTTGAAACCAGGAAACGAATTCTTGCGAGTCTTCGCGCGTCACACTCCGCAAGCAATATCGTTATGCATGCCTCGGTGAACTTGCCATTAAAGTTGGTTCAGAAACGTAGGCTTGTGGGCGGCCGCAGTTCTTGTTGCTCGCAGTGGCGGCGGTAGCTGCGGGCTGGGGGAGTAAGACGCAAAAGTCGGCCTTTTGTCGCATTACGTCAAGAATCAATTCAGGTGCGCCGCAAGCGTCCCAGGTTCCCTTGCCTGCGCCGTGGTAACGAGATGATCTGTTTACACGCCCGGTTCCCACGGGCCGTACGCCCAAGAATTGCGGAGAAAAGCGGGGAGTTATTATTTTTTCCGAGGATTGATTTGATTTCGCCTATCGACTTTCTGAGTTGGCATCGACTGGAACTCGGCGGGGCAATTAGGCTCCGTTGGCTGCTACTCACGCTGCGGATGAAAGTCGCGATGACAAGTTGAGCCGTGATCAAGCGTGCGGCTTGGGATTGGGGGTCCAATTGAGCAATTCAACGCTTCATTTCGAATGCGTGCAACGTTCCTCTCGTTGCGACAGTCACGTCGAACGCGGGAGATTCGGAGCGCCGCTGTCATTGCGATAGGAAATTGGAAAACCTGATTCGACCACGTGTGTGCGAGCCGCAACAATTAGCGAGTGATGAAACCGGATTCTTCCTTCAGTCGTTTCGTTGAAGGAAGAAATTTTTACGGCGCGTTTGCCATGAGGGTCATCCTCTCGCGTTCACCCAGACGTGATGTCGACGTTCAAGAAGACACGCCTGTGAAGGAATGCCTCTCTGGTCCTCGAAATGCCTCCCTAGGCACTTGCACGTACTCGTTTGCCGAAGGTCTGAAATGCGCAAATGTTGCCTCCCTTCTGATCTTCATTGCAGGTATACAATATCAGTAATCTAAATTTTTTGAGCGCGAGAACCGCAATCGGGAAAGGCCGTCAATGCATATGTGTTGCTCTTGAGAGGAAAATGAAAATGACTGAACAGATCACGAAACAGCCTGTATTCCATTTCAGCATTATAATGTTGGCTGCAAAATTTGAACTACTGGTATAATTTTTTTAAATCAACGATCATTTTGATTTGTTCTAGTCCGAAGAACGTTAACTGGTAATCTGAACTGGTGGTGGTTAATCTATGCTGTTCACTCCGAAACGATGAAAAGACGCTCAACATTATCCAGGCTCAGACAGCCTTTATCCATTGAAGATTGGCCGCCACAATTGGAACACAGACTGCGATATTTTATATTGACGTATGACGCGTCAGTTTTAGGGCGGATAGGTCGATATCCGATGCGGTGGTGAACCGGGGTGAATAATGTACTGTTGATCTACGCTTTTCTTGCTTGTTCGGAGAAATCATCAGCACTACGGATAGAGCTCGAAGTAGAGACAACGATACGCTGTCTCAATTTAATTTAATTGGGCTGCAGACATCGTGTCGATCCCCTCGAAGAGAACGAACTGAAAGCGTCGAGTTCGCGGGAAATCCAAACTGAGTTAATGAGCCCGCCCTGGGGACCGTTCGCGTCATCGAAGATGCGATCTTGGCTGATATTGCTAATTCTTGTTATGTAGATAGTATTGAAGAATAAACCGCAGGTCTTGCAAAATGTGATCTGCTAATGGAATTCCTCGGCGCGGAGGACAGAGGAAGAGCCGGCGATAATGGGGAAAGTGCTTGCACAAAATTTCTTCTCGCTGCAAACGCTTTCTCTCCAGACGACGCACGAATGCTTTCGTTCGACCGGCGCAGTGTTTGTGGGCAATTGCATAGATCGCACAAGATGGTGATGCTCGAGTACGTGTGGGGCTTTTGGTGAGCAGCACGTTCCGGCGTAGCGTGACGGGAACAGAAAATGAAGATTCTTCCGAACGTTGATGAAATTTTGCTCTGCCTGCGACGGGCTGCAATCGATACACAAGCTTCCGTTCGTCTGCTGTCGTCCACGCGTTCAGCCCCGCGGGAAACCGTCGGGGTGACGTTGGTTGTGATTTGAGGGTATGCGAGGGATGATCATAAAGTTTTCTCACTTTCCTCAAGTTGAGTTCTTGGGTATGTTTCTGCCCAAGAATCCTCCAAATCACTTCGGGAATCAATTTACTGTACAAGATCGTCGTTGATTTGCAATAACTTGCTTAGATTGTAGCCATGCTTTGGGCAACTTCTGTATCATTAACTAACTTTTGGGGCAGAAATTACATAATTCACTTGACATTTCCTGTTCATACGGCATTTGCTTGCTCTCGGAAGGCATGTCTAGTGTGGCAGGTGAACCTTATTTCTTCGTATTGATTGGGTGCACACTCAACTCCGTCTTACCTTCATGTCAACTCGGATGAGCGAACCTTGGGGAAAATGTACATGAAATTACTGTATCATGGTCAGATAATGAGTAATCCTACTCTGCGAACATAACTTCTATCTTCATCCATCCAACAACAACCCCCCCCCCCCCCAACCCAACCAGGAAAGTAGCGTGAATTGAGCCGACTTTTGTATTTCGAAACTTTGTAAGCATGATGATTCGGAATTGTGAAAGGTTACTTGAACTACAAGAAAATGCTCCCATATTCACGTGCAGAAAATTCAAGTCTGGCATCGTCTCGCGAGCTCTTTGTGAACTATTGACTCAGAATAACCGTTCCAGCTTATTCATTAATAAGCGCTGTATCAGTTCGATGTAGAATTACGCGTTTGACAAACTTTTGCTAACGTCTTTACTGGTATTACTGGTATTCATAGAAATTTCTGGTTGTCGCTTTTTATAATTCGTGACGAGTGGAAACAATCCTGTCTCTGACACGAATGCGTCGCGAACAGTCTGGCCAAGAAGGATGTGTGATGGAGACCCGGTTTCGCGTGCAGCAGTCGACGCATGGCGTGGTTTCGTCTGCAGACCCCGTGGTGCAACGAAATCCAATCCCGCGGGGGGTTCGGGTCGTGGACTCGTGGGGCTTGAGAGAGACACTTCCATCCTGCTCTTTGTACCATATCTGACACGCTTCTGCGAGGCCGAAGGTATTCAACCCTTGCGTCTGCTTTTTTCCTTTCCAGATTATTCGGATCCCGAGTTTGCAGGGTGAGGGTAACAGGGCGTGCACATCTTCGGATCCGCAATGGTTCAAGTTCAACGTTGCATCGTCTGCAGAACAGGATGGTCCGCATTGTTCCAATGAATGCGTACAACAAACCAAGCAGCAGTGAGTTAAATTTCTCTCTTTTAAGTCCATCCCCTTGCGACCAATAGTTCAGTGGTGCGTTCCTTTTTTGGACCATTCGTCGTCGTGGGCAAAGAGAGTCTCACAGGTAAAAGTATAGTTTGAAACTCATGTGGGTTGAAGCTGCAAATCTTATTTATCTTGTTTTTTGAAAGGGATCGGGGGCCATTTTTGTATCAAGTAAAATGGAACAGGGATGGTTCGAAGTGTTTCTCAGGATCTTCAAATGAATTTTTTCAGTTATCCAAGTTTCTGATGCAAAATTCAAACTACTCGGGGGCGAAAAAAGTGTTATGAAATTCTACTGCTCAATAGCAAAGGATTTTCTTTTCGACTGCTGACATGTCTTGACTGGGCAACTTATTTCTCATCAATGTGCAACTGTCAGATTCAGCATCTATTGCCCGATCATTTGCGAAGACATTTTTACTGAAACCTGATCGTCGGATCTGGGATATTCGTCGCTAAGACTATTTTTCAATTATTAGTTGCATTTGACAGCCTGAAATTTTGTGAATTCACAAAATACTCCAAGTTCAACATATACTAATTCATTCGCTGTGCTGGTACCTGTTCACAACTCACGGTCTCCTTTCCATTTAAACGAAAAAGTGAAATGAACGGCATCTTTATTTTCCGCAGTATAAATTGGCTTATTTCCTTATAACTTCTACTGCGGAATCCATTAGATTTTGAAAATTTGTATTTTAACATCCTATCGATAGGTACGAGAATCCGCATTTCTTGCCTAATATTCATCGTCGTTGAGCTAGTCGAAGAAGACAAGAAAGAAAGATTAAATGACTGGGTTTAAAGGGTCGAAGTGCAGTTCAAGTCTAGTGGGCGTTCCTCCGGAGCTCCTTCAGGGTCTCTTGTGAGTTGTGACTGATCACCCGCGGAGATTATGAAAATACAGTATTCTACTGTATATCATGGCGACCATGAGAAATAGTTGTTCGAGCAACTTTTACGCAATATGTTGTGGAATTGGGGTGCGTAAGAAGCGAAGCGCATGGTTTCCGATTGTGAAACTTTTTCGTCGGCTTTGGTTTTTAGGAATGCTGGTTTTTAGCTTTTGCACAAATGAAACTAGTGTTCGGGATTTTGAAAAAAAGCTATGGTTCACAGCTTGATGCTGCTGTTGATATCAATTCAGAATTACCGAAGGAGCCTTTGACAGCAATGCGTTTTTGGACTGGTGGACATCAGGGAAGGTTGCGCCACTACGGGCGGGTTTCGCCCAGTATGAGATCAAGCTTCGATCAGCTTGTACGCTTACGCCTTCGCGTGATCACGTCCGTAGCCTCCAAGATTCATGATGGCTTGAATTATGAAATTTCTACAACAATTCTGCGACCTTGATGTCGTTCAGTCCAGACGTGATGGTCGCGGCTCCCCGGGAGCGTGGAAACAGCCATCGGTTGCGGAAGAGGAAACAGCGTGGATGACGAGGCCGCTTTTCGGGAAATTGCGGACGCGAGCGAAGCTCGCTCATTTCCTTGTTCTTGGGGAACAATTTTCCAGCGGATAATGAAATCGAAAAAGGTAGTAATTTGGAGAACAGGTGACCGCTCGACTGAGCAGGGAAGAATTGCGTCCGCGCTCTTGTGTTTTCGCCAGTTTCCGCGAATAGTTCGGTGCCAGCTGATCTGCTTTCCCTCACCGGTAACCTCACTTGTTTCGATTCTCACCGCGAAGGCGCCGCTTGAGTTTCGTAAATCAAATTCCTTCTCCTCGGCCGCCGCTAACCGATTCGACTTGGTCTTGCAAGCCAGCTTGCCGCATGAGGAAATCGGCACGGGTGCTGAGTCTGCTGACCGCTGAGTAAACAAAAACAGTTCGAGATTTAGTGGCACGTATCGAGATGTTGCGTGTTAACGTCGGGCTAATTCGATCAGCGTTTGCTTGCGGCGATTGTCTCTTATTAAGCATTCGTGAATCACATTGCCGTCCTCAATATCCTTCACCGAATGTTCCATGAAATTCCCCGCTTCAGAGACCCTGCGAACCACGGAATTTCAGCTTATTCTGGATCGTATCATTTTCAAGATACAACATGCGACTGTCAGCGATTTTGCTTGTGGGCACGAAGCGCCCATAGCCAGAAGAAGGCGGAAGAGCGATGAAAGCTACGTTCTTCGAGTTCATGCAAAATACACTTCTTACCTTTTTTTTTCTGAGACCATGTGTACGCAATATTGAAATTCATTTGCGTCATTTCTATTTCCCTACCTTGTCCCATCTTCACCTGTGCAACAGTTCACCTATCTCCTTCCAAATGTCGCCAGGTGAATAATCAGAACTTCGAACGATTTTCTTTTTGCATTTGAAGCCTCATCCAATCGAAAACCTCCCAGTTATTCAATATAAATACAAATTATTTTTAGTACAGTATACTGTACCGTAACATGTACGTATTCTTCTTTATTGTTGAAGTAAACGGATTTCACGCGTTTGGAAGTATCCCAGAGACTTGGAGAACGTATCATATTACGTCACGCAGATCTTAGTTTGCTGCAGTATCAGTTGCCATTCGAAAATTCCCAGATTTATCTTTTACAGAGGGAACTCTACGTACAAGTAGTTGCAGAACCGAAGACCCATTGACCTCTTTTTGTTGGGCTCTTTGATGTTCGACGCGGCTCTGGGCTACGCACGCGTTGGCGTGCCATCCCTCATGTGAGAGATAACGGTCCTTTGAAGGTTTACCCTCTTACTGTATACGCTGAAAGCAGTGATTCCAAATTTGAAAAACCTAGCACTCCGGCAGACCTGTGTGTACGTTTCCGATTTTATGCCCGGAAGACGCTCTTACAAGGATTTGCTGCTTACGGCTTGTGATCGGGAAACAGAGGCTAGGAACGTCGACATTTGAAGGGCATGCCTGTGGGCTTCTTGAACTGTATAAAATAAATTGCGAGGCGCGAATGGCGTAGATCCTATCCTGGTTGTCGAGATGGATACTCGAATGTAATTCTGCATTCGAGGAGAAAAAGTGTGTTCGATGTTACGTTGGCTAGCTTCGACGTCGGTACCCGATGTGGTTGCCACTTTCTCCGCCCGACGACGCAACTGTTGCCTTGAGGGGGAAAAGTAATGGGAAGCAGGGAACTGAGCAGACGAATAAATGGATAGACATAGAAAAAAGTGCGGACTGTGGAACCGTGATAAATGTGGAAAAAGGGAATAAAAGAACCGAGTGTCCGTCTGTGTTGTGTTCCTAGTCATTCGGTGAAGCGAGCGAACGAAATAAAAAGAACGACAGCTTGATCATCGATTTCCAGCAGCCCATTCATTCCGTTCCGTTTGACTTTCGCACCGCTCGAGGATGGAACGTTAATTGCCTCGTGTGTTCAGGTCGACCTCGCACTATTTTCTGACATCTTCCCTCGGGCTGCAATTCTGCCGCAAATTATTCGTATAAAAAAAAATTGAGACTGCTTCATTTATTGTTGAAAGGAATATCAGAGATGCATCTGGAGGTTCCGGTGATATTTCTGTACCATAATTCATTTTCGTAATTCACGACTGCAACAGATTGTAAGATTTTTTCTTGTTAGATACTAAAACTTTCCGTCGAACCATCCGCAATTCGCGACTAAAAGCGGGAGTTTTATTCAGTTGCCTCACATTTTTCGCGCTTTCCCGTTGAAGCGATTCGAACGTAAGTGTTGTATCCGGAGAAAAAAAGAAAGAAATGCTGCCAACACTAAAAGTTACCTTCGAGTGGATAGCTTAAAAGAATAACTCTATTCGTGATTGTATATTTTCTCCCTAAGTCCTTCCCGTTGGCAGAAAAATATGCTTCGATCCGTGAAGATAGGGGAATTCAGGAATTTTTTGGAATTTGTTCGTCGATTATTTAAACCGATTTAAGCTCATTTTATTTTGTATCCCGTGGGAAAGATGCTCCCCCGAAATGTTGGCTCGTGTCACACATTTCCAGATTAAATATGTATTTATTCGTGAGCATACTTGACCAGCGTCCTGTACTACCATTGTAGTTAAAGCTTACCTACTTCGAATTACTTACTCCTTGGAAATTGCATCGTTCTGGTAAAGCCCATCAGTCTATCGTTCTCACATCGGAGTACAAAATGAGTGCCTTGAGCAGACGGTGTATGATGAAAACGGGTCTACGTTGTCGTGAAGGTGTTGTTTTCTCAGCCGAGAACGGTTGTTAACAATTTAGTTTTTGCGTGTGGGAATTTACCACTTCGTGGGATTCAGTGAGAGGATGTAATGAGCCTCGTACGAAAGCCGCTACATCTTGTGCGAGGAATTCGGAGCGACAAGCGCAACTCAATAAGAACAGTCGACTTTTCGTTCGGAACGGCGTCGCCACGATTCGGATGAACGTTGTCGAACGTGGTCGCTTGGGAATCGTCCCACAATGCGGTCAGACCTGGATGGCTCAGGGGAAGCGGATATGCGGACGCTGGACGTATTTCAAACGCATTCTCGTATCGTGTTCGACCCGGAGAATCGAGTTGTGACTCGTCGCTGGCAATCGAGGTTAACTAACCAGTCGAAGCGCGCGTTCCTAGACGCTGAATATACGGCGTCGAAGTCGTCCTTCGCCCGTCACCACCGAGGCGCCGGTTGCGCAAAGTTTCGCGTGCCGTTCCTTGAAATCGGTCCACAGCCAGGCTTCGTCATTGTGAGTAAAGGGGGAGCCTCGTACTTGGGTACTTGGCTGCGAGGCTCTGGTCTACCGTTGATGCAAGAGGCTGGGTGTGTTTCGTTATACGTGGCATTCCTTTCTGGGCATTTATGTCGTCACACGCTTTGTGTCTAGGTCACGAAGGCTTTGCAGCGTCGGCGTGAAAAAGTGCAGCCATGCGTCGCTATGAAGAAAGCGCTCATACGAGGGTGCAATTAAGCCCGCACTGATCGCGAAAGGGTTCACAAACGCCTCATTACTTATAATCAGTTCCTGTTCGGTGTCGTAAACATGAACATTTACGTAAAGTATTGGTGATTCCGGAGTTTTATTCTTGCCCTCTCGTAGGTTTCATTTGCTTACATTCTCAAGCTTATCTTTAGATTCAGTACTGTACCTGCCTTTTTCTTTCTCAATTCACTGGTTACGAATTTATGACGTTCAACCATAATCGTGGACTCCTTGTTTAAATCTGCCAATAGGGAGCGCTTCAAAATGATGAACCGAAATGAACATCATTCACACGATGAGGTAGCAAAACGTCGATTTTCTTGAAGTCGCAGGTCGTCAAATAGGTTCGAAGCGTATCCAGATTGAGTTAAATATCGTGTTGGTTCTCTTTCCGATGGCTCGTAATTTTCCAATTTTCTATGTCAATGCAGTGCTGCAGTATGTCTTACAAAATCTCAATCTTTCTTGTTGAATCGGTGATGTGAGCTGCTGTAATCTACGAAAATTTTCGGATAGTTTTTTTTTTTCTCGCAATTATGAGCAGATGGTGATTACTGTATTTGCTTCGCTTGACTTGATTTTTGGTAGTCGTTCGAGATGGAAAAATTTACGGGCCGCATAAACATTTGAAATTATTGAGGGAAAACATCGCTAATACACTCATTCAATATCAACTACATTCATTCTTCGCTATCTAGATTGCATATTGATTGCATGGGTTCGGTCAAAAATACATTTAAGATTGGAATAGCCCAACAGCACGCTATAAAACCTGTAATATTATCGTACGATATTCGGGTTGAATCCTCTCGAAGAATATGCGGCATTTTAATTGTTGTCTGGCGAAGACAAAGGATTCATGTGAGAATGCTTGAGAAAAGTCCTTGCATGTCAGAGAGGCGAAGCGAGCAATCTTTGAACCGCTTTCACGTGCGCAAGGACGTGGCGTTGTAGTACGAAGAGACCTTATACCAGTGAATTGTGTGTTTTCAGATCTCTTCATTCGCTTGGGCCGCTGCTGTACCGACTGAGGATACAGGCAAAAGATGACGTCTACGAGACTACTAAGCAAAGGATGACGTCTGCCCGCGAGGAAAGCGAGAAGAATTGGTAAGCACATTGTTTCATTAATACAGTATTTCGAACACTAAGAAACGCTCTACTTTTAATTAAGCAAAGTTCTTTCGAGCTGACGACAGCACGCATCATTTCCCACTCAGTCGTCTCCCGTGGTTTTTAGAATATGCACTGCACTGTACAGTACTGCAATTATTAATAGTGCGCAACGAAAATCAAAGAATTGGTCGCGGCACCGACGATGAAGAGTGAAAGTTTTTTTTTAATGAAATTGTTGACGAGGGTTCTGCGGAACATTGTGCAAAATGAGCTTGCAGCGGTGCAAATCTAGATTTTACATTCATCCCAGATGATGTGCTGTCGCGTTACCTTAAAACGCTGCGCGTGCCAGAGCATGGCTAATTTTGGGATGACGATCGTCGCGCTTTCGCGTACGTATTGTTTGCGAATGTTCCGAGAAAGTTGAGTTTGAATCATTCCGGCAACGAAAGGTGGCGGCGGAAATGGATCCGCGGAGCGTTACCGTCGATCTTTTGGAGGCGGTAAGAAAGACTGATTATGGAAGCGTCCGAGCTAGTCGCGGCGCGTCCGAGCCTCGCTGTGGCCCCGGGAACGTTCCATTTCTCCTCCCTTCTCTCTTGACCTTCTTTGATAAAATACTCTGACCCATTTGTGTGCGGCCCTGTCTCGAATGCATGTGCGGTTGAAACAAGTATGCGAATGTCAATCCACGAAATGGGCCGCGCGATTCAACTCGCGGATTGGGCATTTCCGATGAACCCCGTCATCGGTTCTGCGGAAATCCCTTCGTCTACAAACTTATGTACCTTATCTGGCCGATGGCGTGAACCACGCTCGCGTAAATCTTCCCCATTTCATCCATGATTTTGTTATTCGCATTTCTGATCGACATCAGACGGTACGGTAAGGTTAGCGAATGCAATTCAGTAAATTCGTATCGTATGGTGTCCTTCATGGCTGCATGAAGTGCACCGTGAAATCTGGGATTGGCCTAGTACTGAACAGTAATCTTGATTGTATTGGGTCAAGGAGTCGACCTCTAGATCTAAAATACTAGTTGAACGGCTAGTTTGAAGAAACCCCTTCGCTCTAAAAATCGTGTATCGATCAAAACCAAATCATTGTACACGTATTTCATCTTTTATTCAATTTCAAGTTTCATTTCCAACCCAAATGGAACTTTTAGAGTTTTATCCGTGTTAGCTAATGTGACTTATGTGAGAATAGTGATCCGTTTCAACTCCTAATTTCTGGGTAGAAATTCACCGACGACAATATATTTCGAATCTTAAAGAAAAAATTATACAGTATTTCAGGATACAGTACTGTAATTTGTCGTTTGCATGACTGTGTTGTTCAATATACGATCAAAGTTCGAAGCATTTTTTTCATAAGCTACTGTACAGTATTATCATGCGGATAAATAAAATATTATTTCACATTCTCAGTAATGCCCCCGGAAGTTCATTGAAAGATAAAATTCAGATTCGGTATTTGTTCAACATCGAGAAAACTATATCCCGTTCTGATATGGCCGATGTATGATAAGGAAAGAGAACAGTATGAGTATAGCTCTCCGGTCCACATTCATGTGCCTAATTGACCTGAGGTGTGGCCTAAAACGGTTATATTCTGAACGTTGTTGTTCGGTGATCTTTTTTAAAAAGATGTATTACTTTTCTGAACTTCGCGTCCGCTTGATGATACAGGTGGACTCTCTGAACAACGATCTTGTCCACGATATTATGTATATTACGAAGTTTTTTTTTTCCTTTGGGTTCTTTCCCTTTCATACGGCTTCTCTACGAGTGAATTATTCATATTGTACAGCGATTTTTTCTGGTCCCTTGAATCTTGAGACAGAGAGCGTGAGAGACAGATAGTCCACCTAAAAATGTCGTTTCAGAGTTGCCTTGCGGTTCAGTCAATAAGGCGTTATTTCAAATTCAAAGGCACTACGATTCCTGGTGCCTGCAGAATCTATGCTGGAGTCGATACATATATAAGTCTTCTTGAAAACGTGGATGCTATTTAAAAGCAGCTTTCAACCTTCTTCGAGCAAATATATTTCATCTTGCTTCATGATTTAGTGATTGTTCATCTTAGACCTGGGTGAGAATCCTCCTTTACTGATGATTCAACTTGGGGCTAACGCGATTCGGTCGGCCATGCACCAGAACAGCACCTTGCGCCTCCTGATCGTGTTTTACTTGATTGAATATTCGCATCGATTCCATAATGCAAGTTTAAATTGTGACTAATGCTTCCATGCTGATCAATGTCACCGTCGGTCTTCCTTAAGGGGGTCAGTTTTTTATATAATTATTTTTAAAAAGCTGTTGTCTGCCGTCGCGCTCCATCCACCTTGCTTCTGGCGTATCTCGTGTTCAGTCCACTCGTCTATTCCGCTTCGCTGCGATTCGATCGGAACGCCAGTCATCATTTCGTAACTCTGGATGAGCCGACTCAGTCTCTCGCGTTCGTAATTTATCCTTCAATCAAGTTTCATATGTCCTACTACAGCGCTCGTTGCTCCAAAGAAAATTTCTTCTTCAAGTTCCCTTGCTAGCCAACCGCTCATACAACGGTATTCCGCAACCCTCCCTGTGTAATTTCTTCATCCAAACGTGGGGAACATATCAGTAGCTTTAAAACCTAGTTTATGTCTTGAATTTGATCGCTATAATTGGAAATACACTACCTACGAAGATATTCATTCTAACGGACGCTGACCGTTCATCGTACAGTAGTTTCATTTACTGCGTATGGTTTTGTCTCTGATTTTTATTTTGTGAAAAATATTTTGGGACTCTCGAGTATTTTCAGAGAATTTTATGCCTAGGTTGGAAAATAAGCTTGTTACAATATTTGTATCGCTTGTTTAGTTTTTTCTCCATCAACTGAATTCTTATTCGGAATCGGAGGCTTCATTTGAATTTAGTCGCCTATGGATGAATACTTCTTAAACGTTAGATTGTATCAAGAGAAAGGATCTGCCTTTTGACTCGTGGTTTGGATCTTCATGAAGTCAAATAAACCTTTTTTGCGTAGAAGCATCTGTTTATTAATAGTAACCGTCGAGTTTCTCTATTGACGCTCGTGTGAGCTGTTGATGATGAATGGGATCCACGTTAGCAACTACGTATTTGGTTGGCTAGTTTCGCTTCGCGAAAAACTCGAGCTTCGTTGCCGACGTGGCAAAGCAACGCGGTCAATGGTTGGTCAATGTGTCCGCTCTGAGCTGTGCGTGGTGGTGCAACTCGAGTGGCGTGAAATACCGTATTCGTCTAGCATTTTCCCCCGTCTCCATGGCGTGGAACGCTGCGGGAAAAACGTGCAAAAATCTCCATCGCACTGAACTGTTCCCTTGCACAGCTTCGTCAATTCATTGTGAGCACGAGAGTATGTGTTTTACAAGTTTATGTCGAACGAGGGCCGCTGCATTTCATGTTATAAGTCGCACTGAGGGACTGGGTTATGCAATACAGCACATAACGCTTCGGGAATCAGCTGACCCACTCCTAACGGAATTTGATTTAGAACTTCGTAATTGTAACGATGGAGTACAACTCGGGTAATCTGAAGATTGCGAGCCGTTGCAATAATAATGAAATACTGTCTATCGCAAAAAATAAATACGATATTTGAACATGCACTTGCCAGATTGTAGTCTTTTTCCGAAGATAAACTGAACTGGTATTACCACAAATCCTGATAGGCATTAACCCAAATAATTATTCGTTCGGAGGGAAATCAAAATGCTGCGTTTAAGATTGTGAGTTAGAATGATTTTACTTCCCATTCTTCACAGAGAAGTGAATTACAGTACAGTATTGACGAATGTTAATCGAAGCCCGGATATTTAAATTTATTTAGGATGGATAATTTTTCACATGTACGAAATAAATTTGGTATTGTATCGCCCCAGAAGTCTAGCCACCTCCTCTCAATGAATCTTTAGTTGACCGAAACGTTGATGCTAAATTTCGGCGAATGGAATTCGAAGTAGTCACACATCGTATCACAAAAAGAGCAGAAGACTCGAAGAAATAAAAAATAAAAACCTCGTTGGCGGCCGCTTTCGTCGTCCTCTTTTTCGTTTCTGGAGCAACATTTTATTTGTGGTGTTTGCCCTGATCCGAGACGTAGTTGGAATGCTTGGCAGGTCGGATTCAATATTTCCTAAATTATTTTCTTCCACAGGACTCCTGGAAATGAAACCCTACGATTGATTTGAAGTTCTCGGTTTGTTCAGTATTTCATCCTGTTTTTCAAGCACATAACTTTTTTTATATTTTCTGTACCAAATCAGAGTACGTTCTGACCGGGGTTGACGTAGTTCCATGTTCACGCGATCTTTTTGCAGACTGAGATCAACAGTTCACGTGTAAAAGGCTGTTTGATACATCGACAACCATTTTTGCAGAATGCATGCAGCTTTCTTTTTTTTCGCGATGATGTGGAATTAGCTGGAAGTAGGATGAATCTTCAAGACGGTTTCACAGCTTCACGACCAGAAGGAAGAAACTTGCTGGTTCATGTGACGTCAGCCAAATTTTAAGCAAGAAAGTGATTGCTCGCGTGGTTAAAAAAAATATCGGCATAAATTAATGGCCACTACTTCTGTTGAAATGGTAGTTTGAGGCGAGCTGTTGTGACTCGAACGGGGTCACCCTACATAGACGATGCTTCCATTCGTAGAAGCACATTTCATTATGTACCCGAAAAGCGCAATCGTGTGGAACTAATTGCCTGCGTCCGACGCTTACAAATTATCTTGTCTGCATTTAGCGGCTGTTGAATTTGCTTACAGAAAATGTATTCTGGTATGCATTGTCTATTCCGTTAATTTTTGCACAGTTCAATTTTCGAAAGAAATAATCGGCGGATAATTGAACAAATTCAACTGTACCAACCGCCCTCTGTCTTGAATTTGGATGGATGGAAAAAACGTAATTGAATATAAGAAATTCAAAGTGCTTGAATGCGTGACTTCCAGGAAAGGTCAGCCGCTGTTTCTATCCCACGCTTCCGACTCAGATACTGCGTGAGAGTGACCGACATGAATGATAAAAGTACAATGGCGTAATGGATAGAACTACGAAGTTTTTTCAATACTCGACATAAGTACTGTATAAAGTAAAGCTTCGTTAGCGAAATGTCGAAGTTCTTCTGGTGCGATAAAATTGAGTTCTTCTTGCAGAATCGGTCAACTGGTGTATTATTGATAGAATCTGTGGCTGAAGTACTTCTAAGCATGGCGTGTCATAAAATGAGGAGGAATGCGGAGGGAAGGTAGTCGTGATGAATGTTGTTCCGCGTGTTTTTGTTTGAAGGATCTCTCGAAATGTGCGCAATACTGTATGCGAATCTTTCTTTGCGAATGAGACTTTCCCGAAGTATTTGCACAGGAATTGACGCTGAAAATGTCCCTCGTTTTGCAGCACGAAGATGATCAAGCCGTGCGCGATGGTCGGAAGAATGATCAAGGTGAAATCTGGAACCACTAGACCGCACCCGACAGTACCCGCGACCACCTCCAAGCCAGAACCTCCTCGAGCTTTTGGGAGCCGCGAAAATCGGCGGCCCGGCTTTTCCGGTCGCGGACCAGGACCGGGGCCCGGGTCCAGCAATGGGCCTCTGTCGTCGAGCGGCACAACCGGAACGGGCGCTTCCCAGCATCAACCCGTGCCTGGCCCACCGAAGTTCCCTGGCTCCGTTTCCCGGCATTCGGGACAGAGTTCCTCCGCTTTGCCATCTGCATCTAGTATTCCAGGAGCTGCAAAAGCTTCGGGACCACTGGTCAACCAGCGGCATTCTTCACCTGCTTCGACGAATTCCCGTCGAAGCAATGTCACTGATATCATGAAGAAGCCCCTACGGTGTGTCCTGAGTCCTTGATAGTTGACCCCCTTCGTTGAATCACTGTTCGTTCAATTTTGAAACAGGGAGCGGATTGTTCATCTTTTGGCTGTGAGATCATACAAGAAACCGGAATTGGTTGATAGATTACGCAGAGGTAATGTGGCCCATTTTCAGACTTTATTTTACAATATAGCCCCCCGTTGCTCCTTCGTCGCCATTCGGTGGATCCGTTCTTCGTATTTTCCTTCCAGAAATCCTCTTTTGGTCAATTTTTATGGCATTTTCCTCGTTACAGATGGTCTCAGAGAAAAGGACAAGGTGACGGAAGCGCTGAATGGCATCTCGTATATGAAGGATAACACGTACCATTTGGCCAAGCACGCTTGGTCCGAAGTCAACGAAGACTGGCCTTTTTATACGCTTCAGGACAAACAAACTATCAAATGGTGTGTTCTCTTCCTTTTTTATTTAGCATGATTTACTGATCGTTGAATTTTCCAACAGGAGAAAACCGGAAACGCTAACTCCGCCGAGCGATTCCTCGAGTAGTAGCGGCCATTCTCCAGTACCAAGCTCTGGCTCAACGTCGCCCCCTGGTAATGGGAGCTACAAAAGGCCCGGCTTTTTTGACCCTGCCGAAGGTATTCCTACCAAGAAAGTGCGTATTTCGCACTACAAACGCCCGCAAGCTGGACCGGACGAAACAAGAATCATTTTGCCGCACGGGAACGGACCTCAGTCCGGGCCGGGCTCATCACTCGTGTGTGGCAGTGGCATCAGTTTCGGTTCGCGGGGCTCGCTCAAACCTGACATGTTACCTGGCTCTAAGCCGCCACTAGCACAAGTGGACAAACGGCCGGACAATTTCGGAGACAGATCGCGTTCGGATCGTCGAGTGTTTACAATGACCGATTCTGCGCGCGATGAGTTGTCGAAGCGGCAAAGTAAGTCATTGCCGACGTCAGAACGTCCTTCGCAAACTCCGCCAACCGTTGCCTCGGGTGGTGCTTCTTCGGACTCTATGTTCACCGTTCCCGAGTGGGGTGGGCGGTCTTCTGGTCGCTACGGGCAGTCCACGACCACTTGCCTTCAACCGACGCCGGAGTCCAGCCCGGATGCTCGGCGCGTCGAGGAGAATGAACTGCTGGCCAAGAAGTCCTCGAAAATTGCCAACGCTGCTTCGGTGGACACTTCTGATTTCTCGCCTGAAGAAATCCCTGAGGATTTCCTCAAGTACGTGCTGTTTCAGTTTTCGATGTCGTTGACTCCCGTTGTGCGTTGGGGTCTCAATTGACGATCACCGCGTTGGGAACGGAGAGGACAAATACAACTGATGATACAAACATGCTTGGAACAAATGCAACTAATTCGCTGTATGGAGAAAATTCTTGCAGATGATACACTCATACGTTATTTGGTCTTCTGTGTCCAGAAAATAACGTACTATATTGTTCTAGATGTATCATCTGAGAAGGAGTGATTCCACCCATAGTTTTAAACCATTTGAATTTTGCCATTTATTTCCCCTACTGTTCGCTCGCTTTCCTCCGACTCAAACAAGGAAACGTTGTAGTATACTAGTCTTAATGCTAGAAAGTGTACACTGTAGTGCTTTCACGTACCAACAGAGTTCGTCCTTCGAATTTTCGGATTTTATTCAATAATACTGTAATTGTTTGGCATGTATATTGTGAAACGCCTGTGTGATCTTCAATTTGTCTTCCCAACGTCTTATATGTTCAATTTTCGCGGAGAAACGTATATTTTGATGGAATGAATATATTCTTCGGTGTGTTCAGGAGTTTTGGGACGATTGAGACTTGGGAACAACGGAATCAATACAAAGCAATCTTTAATAAGGAGTACGACGAATATCGCAAGTTATACGCCAAATTCAATGGAATTGCGCAGGAGTTTAGCGATCTGGAAGCACACCTTAAGAAATGTGAAGCTGGCAGTGAAGCTCGTGCTGTAAGTCGAATTGTCTAGTGTTTTTAATTTCCCTGGTTGGACGTGTGTAAAAATACGTCTTCATTCAGGTTTGTGAACTTGTCCTGTAGGATCAGTCTAGGTTAAGATAAACCAGCGTCATGTATGAAGTACGGTACTTGCATTTTTGTGCATATCCCTGCGGTGGCAAATTTCCCGGAAATGTATGCAACAGGAACTTCATGAGCAGTAGTTACAGTTTCGAAGAGCCTAGTAAAATTTCTGTACTTAATTGGTTTTTTAACGAAATTTTTTTCGAAGACCTCACTGAACCAACTGTTGTTGTTCAATTCGTTTTTACTCGTGCCCCCTCCTCATCGGCAAGCAAGAAAGCAAGTACTGTACTTATGGTAAATAATCTGATACGCATCTTACACAATGGTGCATGGTACGCAAGTGAATCTGATGTATCTTGGTTTCTTCACAATATCATATCTTGTCCTTCGGATGTAAAGATTCTCCCAGGAATTTTTCTATTTGAAGTTGATGTAGTGAAGTTTGCGTTGGTTTAGGAAGTTTTGTGATTAATGTACGCCTCGTTAATCTTGTGTACAGGGAGCTAGAAAACGCATTCAGGACCACTACGATAGCACGAAAAATGCGGATTACATCGAGAAGCGTCGTCGGCTGAGCTATCTGCACGCAAAACTAGCGCACATTAAAAGACTAGTCGTCGAGTTTCACGAAAAAGAAGTTCCAACTGTCAGGGCAGCCGTGTAGCGTCAGGACGGACCGAATAGGCTGTTCTTCAGGAAGATTCTTCAATTCGTCATTTGTCCCCGGATACCTCTATCGCACTGTCGATTTCCCCACGAATCTGTCTCGCGTTTTTTTCCCCCAACCGTGAAGCGTGCGTGCTTCATTTTCTTTTTGCGTGCAGGTAATTTCTAGGAGTCTCGGTGATAAATTAGCAGAAAGTAAGGGCATATAATTGATTACAATAGAATCATCTATTCAGAGAGCATGGAGTTTTGTTGGGAGTCGAAACTGGCGTAAATTTGATTTGTGCTCTATTTGACGGGAGCAGATTTTCGCTGTGCTTGTGATTCTGGCCTGGAGAAGGTCTCCGGAGGATTTTTTCCGGTAGCTGAAGTGGCGAATTCATGTGTTGACGACGGGTTTGCAGAACCGAGACCCCCAGTACACCTACTAGTTACCAATTTGCCCAAAACCTTCGTCTCATAAATCCTTTACCTGCCGAAACCGGCAGAGCGGGCATGATGCTTTGACTGAAAGGAAAATTCATTTCGTTCGCGTCCTGCATTGTACTGACTTTCCGCGCCTGAGTTGCTGCGCTCGAGTATTAGCGTGCTGGCTGCCAATATCACAGTGAATCATGACGCCTCTGATTTCAAGATGAAGGCAAATTTTTCACCTCGTGAATGCAAAGGCATAGGCCCTCCCATATTCTGATATCGGGGAAGGTTGTGATATCTTGGAATGAAAGGCTAGGAACCAATTTCAAGATGGGGCGGACGTGACGTCGTGGAAAAAAAAACATCCATTGTCGTGAAGAGGGGCCGTCGATGGGAAGTGGAAAACTTTATTTCTCTGCTCATGTTCATTGAAGAACGAATCGCTCTATTCCGAGAGATTTTTTGTGTACAGAGTTAATTTTGTGCTTTATATATTTTTTTCATCCGGGGCTGAGGAGGCCGATTGTGGGCTACGAATTTGTGCGAAATTAAGGGAACGAAAGGTGTGTGAACGAGTCAAAGCTTCATCTTTTTCTCATGTTATTTTGCTGGCAAGAAGGGAAATATGTAGATGCTTTGGTGAGCTTGTGGCGCTGACCGAGACGGGACGGTTGGCGGGAAACGATGGCATAGGGGAAGAGGAACGCAATCGCATCCAAGTTTAGGCTTCGTGTCTCCTCGGGATCGTTTAGTGCCCCGCCCAAATCGTGCCAAGCGCTCAAAAGGGAAAAAAAACCTGAACTCTGGCGAAGGGAAGAATAATTATCGAGTTTCTGTACTTCTTGTTTTATTTAAGGAAGAGTGTGCGTGTTCGGAATGGAGCCCGATGTTACGCAGCACAAGGCCGGAGCCTTTTGTTGGTTTTATGAAACATGATGTAATTGATTTGGATGACGACTGGAACGACTCTGGAATACCCGAGATGAAAAATATTTTTTAATTTACTCGTGTATGTACCTGCTCGATGGAAACTATTTCGATACTCATTTCGTTTCTCTCTTGAAACCTGGGGCGCGCGGAATCCAAAACATGGGTGAATTCCTGAAAATCGTAACCTTTAAACTTGGCTTCTCATTCGTCCTCTCTCGTTCCTGGTAGCGCACGTCATTTCGACAAGTTTCCTTCGTGCAGACTAGTATTACTACTTATGTTCCTTCCTTGCGACCGAAAATTCGTAATTTCTCCCCTCGTTTAGTACGCCGAGTGAGATCTCGTGAACTTTCTTGCTCCACAGCTAATTTCTACGGAATCCTTCTGCCTACCATCTCGTTAGAAGATATGATGTTGCAATACTCATTCGTAATTTTTATCCGTAGTATAAAAAGTTGGCCTCTTGGGGTAAAAGATAAAAGAGCAACTAATGGGGTTGTGAAGAGGTAGCTGCGAGAACGGGTTCTGCATTTGTTTTTTCGGAATTCCTTTCAATATCAATCCATCTTCATTCATCGTGTGCGATTTCATGAAAGATTCCTTGTTCAGATTTTACGCTCGACGCGGCCACTTCATGCATAATTAGATGAAATCACTTAGTGTGTGAAGTACCTCGATATGTGTTGAACTCAAGGCAGGTGTTTGTTCCTTTCTCGCAGCGGATTAGGTTGATTCTTCAACCTTTTGTGATGATTTGAGCAAGGTTGCCAATCTTGAACCCATGGTTGATTTATTCTCGAATGGTTTGTGTGCAAAATGTTCTAGTCCTTCCTGATTTTTTTCGTGTCTTCCTATGCACGATGGTCATGTGTTTAACTAAAATTTACGTGGAATGGTCTGCAGCACCCGCAGGACTTCGCTTGAAGATTTCAGTATGAAAATGTCACCCTGCCAACGGGTGTTTCGTGGGTGGTTAAAGGAAAAGTCCTGTGATATTAGCAACTTTTCAAACAGTGCTGGAACTAAGCTGGTTGAAGTTATGCTGAATTTGATTTTTAGCTGTGTCTCGTCAAATTCTTTGCATCTGACGCACATATCCTTCATTTGATCTGAACCTGAGAAATTCGCGCATTTATCTTCCCCTTCAAAAATATACCAGCATTGCTGCTCGTGGGTGGAAATTGGTCTGCTTTAGATTTTCTGCAGTGTGTCCTCGGCATTTTCGTTTATTTTGTTTTTGTTTTTCAGGATTTCATTCCGACCTAATTGCTGAAATGTTGGAGAACTTTCGTTTGAAATCACTTTTATTTCCGAAGTCCGTATACGTTTTGTCGTTCGAGTTTTTTCAGTTGCAGTGCAGACGGCGAGTGTTAGTCAGGTCGAGTGTATACCGTCGAGAAGGAAACGTGTCGTTGTTTTTGTGCAGGCATTTTGTTTCTCCTCCAGCAGGCATTCCTCGCGATCTGGACGCTATGAACTGGTCATGTTGAGGCTGAACTTTTCACGGCAAGTTGTGATAATTTGACGCCTTTTGCTGTTGAGCCTGTCGCCCTCTTTGAGGCCCGAGTGTTTGGAAGTCCTTTCGTGTACGTAAATCTTATGCGTGAATAATATTTTCCATTTCAGTTTAGCCAAGTGAGAATAGAAGACCGTCAAAGATATGTTTCGGAAAACATGTGCGTCGCAGAGACATTCCATATACACGACGCAATTTGGGTGGCTTTGTTGAGCTGCACGCATTGCAGTATTTGGATAAATTTCTTGAAACGAGAGATTCAAACGGCATTTGTTATGTTGATTCCGAGTTGGATTTTCGAGAAGTGCGAGTGTCCGTGTCACAGTTCTCATCTATGGGGTTTCCAGGCGCTGGTACGAGCACCGTTTCATGTTCCGATGTTCTGTCCCGCAGTTGTCATGCTCCCAAGAGCCTTTTTTGTTTGTTGTAAAACCCACGCATAGCTTGCGATTCTCCGAGCCCCGTAGTTAACGCCTTTTTTATATGAGAAGCACAATTTTCCTGTGATATTGGTGACTGATATAGGATCATGCGAAGGAACGCCATGGAATAGGGTCGTCTGTGGGAGGTTTGTGTAGCGTGCTGCCATGTTCCAGTTGATTTGTGTCCAGGATGTGATTTCCAAAGCTTGCTTCTTGCGTGGTAATTCACATCTTGGTGTTCCCAGGACACTTCTTCGTTATTCCAATTGAGTCTCCGCAAGTTTTTTGTAACCAGGGGTCTTGGGCCACGCGCCGTGATGGGGAATGATGCTTCCTTGAATGTGAATCTTGTCGAACGCGCTTCCGCGCAAAGATGTATCGGTCGACCGATTCCCCTCCAAATCTCCTCTAGTCCTCTTTGCCCAAGCATCGCGATTGCAGCAGGGACAAGGGAGTTTCGGAAAAATCATCGTTATTGGATCTGTCGCCCGGTCGAGCAAGATCTGTTGGGCTAGAGGAGTCCGCGTGTGCTGATCAGTGGCTAACGTTTTCAAGTCTCTGGTTCCTGTACTCGTAGGTTTTGTGGACCTCCGTGTTCCATGCTAGGAGCCCTCTGGAATGAGTCAACGTTGATGTGCCATGTTGTGTTTCCCCTGCCTTCTTGTGGGCAAATTCGCGAGAATTGGGATGTTAGGAGTGGGTAAAATTTTTGGCCATATTTATCGCGTTGCTCCACAACAACTGGGAGTGCAGGTACTGTTTTTCACCCCTCCGTCGTGTCTTCTCGGGTCCGGCTGTTTTTTTTTTTCTCTGATCCGCGGGCTGACCAGCGTGATGACGAACTCCTCTAATTCGGACAGGAGTCGCGCGAGCGATCGAATCAATCGGCCCAGTGTGAGGTCGCAAAAGAGAACTGTTTCCGCGTTCTCAGTTTCGTTCCGCCTTAAGAGCCACTGGGAATTGTTTTTCTGGAATCCTAGCTGAGCACGTGATCGCGTCCGTTTGTGGAAGTTTTTCCTTTGTGTATTGATCAAGTGATATATTCATAATTATACTGTATTCCGTTTGAACTGGCTGTCAAAACCTGTATCTTCAGCATGTCTGATTTTTCTTTCGATATTTTGAATTCATAAACCTGTTCATGCAAGCAAAAACGTCTCATGGTTATTTATTACTGTTCAGAATGGTTCGTAAATCACATCGAACTGTTACGGAGGACATTTCTGTGAAGTGCCGATGACAAGGAATTCATTGCTGAGTTCCAGCAGCCCCTCAATTATGGTATACTTTTCGTATCTTGTTTGGTGTATGACCCCACTTCGGTACACCTTCGGGTAACCGTAGTATTTCATAGCAGAAAATCATTGCGTCATCACCGCTCTTCGATTCGAGGGACGCATTGAACACGTGGCGCGTGTTCGTCACAGCACAACTAATGGCCTATTGTACAGTAAAATATTGGTTCGTGCGCACTGATTTCCCAAGCCATGGCATATTTGAAGCTGTACTATACAGTGTAAGTACAGTACTGTACAATTTTTCAAAGTTAAAATGCTTAATTAAAATACTGTAAAACATTTCAATATCGTCGTGCTTGATTTTCACTTCGAATTAAAAGTCTTTCCTTTTATTTCGAACATTTGCTTTTCATCATGGGTACATGAATACTATGAAAAGTGTTACAGTAATTAATTTTTGGTAAAGTTTGCTGGAAGATGAAGTTTCAACCCGTACGGATGTGTTTATGGAAAGGGTTGCTGAAGATCGGCCCAGTGATGCGTGGATTTGTTAGATGACATTAAAACCACTTGCAAAGGCTGCAATAATGTACTGTAGCTTCGAAATTGTTCCAAAGCAAAAGATCGGAGTGATGATCCATGATGGGCATGATCGTTCTGCTGGCGACTTCTTTATACCGGTGGAGACCGTATTCTTGAATCTTGATCGATTCTACGCAGGTGATGCGGCCGCTCGGTTGTTTCTAGCCCTTCGCAGTTCTTCGTTTAGTGACATCTATGTTCGTTGGTTCAAGTTAGTCCAACACGGCAGTTTTCTGTATCATCAAGGTGTAAGAACACTTCAGGTTCAATGCTGGAATATTACTGTGCAAGCCTAGTACAGTTGTACTGTACAGTATTATGGTGCGACAGTTTTTAAGATTTTTAAAACTGTCCCTCGAAACGCTGATCATTTGACAAGAAATATCTGATAATTTTTGAAGTAGTGCATTTGTTTTTATTCCGGAAGAAAATTTTTCAAATTTTTACAGAAGAATAAATTAACACTTTTGTTGTGACAGCGAAAGCTTCTGAAGGCTTCTATTGAGCACACTGACGACTGCATATGACTCACGACTCTCAAGAATCATCTGCATTCATCAATGTTCGCATCCGCGTGGGCTTCGGAGCGAGGGAAAGTTGCTTCATGGTCTTGGGTGATGTACTGTACAGTACTTATCTTCGGCACCGGAAGAAAGATGACCGATGCTTACGTGCAATATTTCCAACACTAGAAGCGATTTCTTCACTCAGACTTGTAAGTATTAAGTATTGCTTTCTCTACAATATTAAATTATATAGAACTCTAGGTAAGTCTAGGATACTAAATAACGGTTATCAAAATGTGTTCCGCGGAGCACAATAATGAGGGCTCCGCATTCAAAGTTTTCCGCATGTAAGAGGCTCCGCGGCTGATCTGGGAAAATAAATGAAACAACAGAAAGATTACCGGTAAACTTAATTGGAATACGTTTGGCTTGCATATATACTGTACTGTAAATTCACAGTAACAGGCCGTGAAAAGTTCAAAGCGTGTCGAATTTCTGTGCACAATACATTTTTTTCCACCCAGCATTTCACTCGAGGCATTCGTATGATATGATCTGGCCAGGACAAGTTTAGAACTTTCATTTATTTCCTGTCGTCCAAAATGCTTGCAGTTTTCCAACTAAACAATTTAATAATATCGTGTGGATGACGGAAGAATACAGTCACCCGTACAACAGCAGAATAAAATCAACCATTGCCTTTTGCATAGATGGCTGCATGGTCATGAAGTTTCTGTCATGCTTTCTTACAAGAAATCACGGCAACAAGCAGGCGTCGAAAACAAAATAACTCAAACCTTTTCGAGAGTAGCCAACACTACGTCATTATTGGTTTTCCAGTGTAATTTAAGGTTCCGAGTTGGGAATTTTGTTGTTGCATTGAAAAAATGAATCAAAATCGGCAGTCGTGGAATACTGCACTGTACTTCATTTTTTAAGCTTCTGAGTCGGTTTAAAACATTTGCGAATGCTTCTCCGAGAAGTCTTGAAGAAATACCGCGGAAATCACACCACTCTTCTACTTCTGTCACGATTGCTAGAAACCATGAAGAATACGAGTTTAATCTTCGGACAAAAATGTAAATGGCGAAACATTTAATAGGTTCAACGGACGCACGTATTCCTCATACACAGGTCTCCAACACATAAATTGACCGTAATTATAGATCCAATGTGTCGAAGAGGTTGGGAACCATTTGGGGCTTTGAAAACCTCTCGTGATAGTCGTCAAAGGCACCCGCTTCCGCACGACTGCCATTCTTCCGTGCAACAGCTCCGAGTTCAGCCTAGTCATCGCTATAGGTATGTACTGTATGTCATTTGCTGTTGCATTCTGATGTTCGTCACTGCCGACATTGATTTATCTTCCTCTATAAATCAATAATCAAAGAGTGATTGGTAGGCGATTACAGAACCTAGCGACGATACTGCATGCGAGTTTTCACTCGTATTTTGGGAAATGGATGAGTGCGGGTCCGATGCTTCATTTTTCTCTTGGCAACTGCTGGTCGTGATATACGAGCATTCACCAGGGAGCCCCGGTCCGGCAGAAAGCGTGAAAAGACACCGTCGCCAGCGAGGAAACGTAGCTGAATGAACCTTGCTCTGGGAGAGAAAATTCGTTGATTTCCTCCGCGCAAGACTCTCGCGACGACCCTCGAGGGAGTTTCAGCAGGTCAGTATTGTATACATAGACTTCACGAGCATTTGTAGTATTCAAGCTACATCATGTTGCTCCCGTAATGCTTTGTAATTCCGCGGATCAGCAAGGAGCCTACAACGTTGGAATTTCTCAGAAATAAGCATGCAGTACTCGCTCTGCCTATATGGCGTACAGTATAGGGCGAGAGTGGGAGAAAAAGGAGAACAAACATGAAGCAGCCGCGCGTTCCGAGTTTTATGAAGGTAGCACTTGCACTGGACAAGAAGAGGATGGGGAGCGCTGGGACAAAATTACTTGCGGAGAAATAGTGTACCGCCAGCCGCGCTGGAGGCTTGCAGCAGATGGTTCGCTGGTCGATATTTATGCATCGGCCTCTGCCGAGATATGCACTCCGTCGGGGTTGAAGTCGCGGACCTGCTGAGATCGCCGGCCATGTGCCATGCTTCGCGCTGCGTGCGGGAATAAACGTCCTGTCCCCGGTCGGCGGGTGTATCTATAGCTTCAGCCTCTTTCTTCACACTATATACGGCATGGTCCGAGACATCGCAACGGTTTTCCCCCAGCTCCTAATACACCTCAATTTTACCATCAATCGAGGATCTATATACAGTAGCTCGATCGCGAATGAAGGGAACGACGTCTTCTAGATGCTATAAAAGAAAACAAAACACTCATCCCAATCAACTCGGTCAATGTATATGGAACCATTGCAGCTTTTAAGGTCAAGCAATTTTAGCCTCCCTCGCGGCATACGATGTTTAAAATCCGAACATATATTTTATATGTAGGCATACGAGGGTCCAAAGACGCAGAAATAATTACTCCTCAGACTATGTCCGTATGTTGAACTGTTCACATGTTGGATCACAGTTTCCCGTTGTCTTCAATAGGAGAACTTAGGATGACTTCTCATGTTTGAGAAAAAATTGGACAAAGTCCTCCCAAAAATTCAATAAAAAGGGGATTCTCAACTTTAAGATGCAGAAGAATACCATGCGTAATCTGCAAGTTTGGCATGAAAAGGAGCCCAAAAGACAAAAAAAAAAAAAAAAAAAACGCATACATAGTGCTAAACAATACATGGTAAGTTTTTTAGATTAATTTTTTAATCTACTAAATTTTTTGAAAATGTTTTTGAAAATAAGCTGAAATAAATGTATGATACAATTCATTTTGACTTCATATTTATAGTAATTTTAGTACATTTTTTCAGGAGACATACACGTTTTAAAAATATTATTTTTCATTGTTTTGGAAATTTTCAGAATGTGTCCACATCGTAATAAGACATTGTCTAGATGCCGGGCAGATGCTTTGAGTTTGAAGGTTCCAAAAGTCGACTTGTCCACTTGTCGGGACATCCGTGTGCATGGATCCCACTGCAAATTTCAGGAAGCAGACACGAGGACAGGAATTGAATACTGATGAAGCTTATTGCATAACCTGGAAGTAGCTCCCTGTACTGTGCAGTACATGGTACTGATAGACCGTACATCCCATGAGAGATGCTGGTTCGTTCTTCAGTGCGCGGTCAAATATACCGTTCTGTGGTCGAATCCAAATTATAGTTGTTAATTAAAATGCTAAAAAAGAATCACAATATCAGCAGGCGAACTCATCGAGATTCTGCTCAATTGGTGATGTCATACGAAGGACTCTTCTTTGAAAGTTCTATAGGTGTATGAGGAATATTATTGCCCCCATGGATTCAGTTTTTATTTCCTGGAGTATCCATACTTGCTGGTCAAAACCACGATGAGCGCACCAAAAATTCCCGGAGGATTTCACTTCTTATTCTGCTATAATTTCAGTGACTGATCGCCTTTGAATAATCTAGCACTTTGACGCACCAAGTTTATCCTCACAATTTCCTCTCATTCACAAGGCACCGACGGTTCAACCTCTCGGGATCCTCGTACAAAAACTGTGAAAAAATTCGTTGATAATCCCATGCGTGCAACGGAACCCAGTTTTAACAAATATTTCGAATATTTCGAGTTGAAGTTCGCTGTGATTGGTGCTGAAAACTCTTCTGCGATACCTTGGGTGGGAAAATGCATCCTCAGGAATAAGCGAGGTACAGTACTGTTTGTTGCATAAATAATTTTATTTCCTCCAATCATCATTCTAGCTTATCCCCTTGTCAAATATTATTTTAAATATGC